AAAAAAAAAAAAAAAAAAAGAAAGAGTAAGCTATTGGTTCTGCAAGACACCAGCACAAGAACATACACATATTAAGCGCTGTTATCATATACTAAAGTTGGTGTACATTTGGGTTGCAATTGCAGTAAGTTTTCTAGAATAGTATTGCACAACTGATTGATTTGTTACTTAAAAGCCTACTCCACCTAGGAGCAACTAGTGAATAAACAGCAGCATTTACCTGCATCCTCCTTTTACCCTCAAACCTTTCATTCACTCATATGGCCCAGGTGATCAACACCACTGTTCAGGACTGCATCCTGTACTCTTGCTCGTTTAAACCGTTCCATTTCTTAAAAAAGGCACTGAATTTTGGATGTACTGAAGAGAAAGGAATAGAAAGATTCACAGTTTCAAGCACATTTTAAGAGGTGAGAGTTCCTTTAGCAATACACCTTTCATAGCTTATCAGTATAAATATGTTCACAAGTTTCCATTTAAAAATGAGTCATCCCATCCCACTGGAGTAAGAAAACAGAACTCATCAAATGTAGATTCTGCACAGGTTTAATTTACTTCTGAATCACTGAATTAAACTAGTTAAGACCAAGAAGGAACAAAAGTCCTTGCAGTTATTTTGCCAAGTAAATTGCCAGACCTAATCCAAAAGAAGTGTGATCCTTTTTCTAGTTTTTGATTTATAATTAAGTCAAAATCTGACTCATTTTTATGTGTAAAATTGTACAGTGGCATTCTAAAAGTACTTCAACTTTGTGTTATAACAAAAGTTATCATTCTAAGTGTGGAAGATCTCTATTTCCCTTTAGTGAAACCACTGAACCAGGCAGCAAACTACAGTATAGAAAAGCTACAATAAACGCTTGGAAGAACAGCTGTAAAATTTAAGGATTTAATATAAATTTATGAGATAAAAGTATCTGAATAGAGAACACTAAACAGAATCATTCAAGAGTGGGACGTTACAGTCCATATTCATGTTAATTATCCAACTGCACATCTGTATTGCCTCTTCTCTCCTTTCCCCAAAAGCAGAGTAAGCAACCCCCTTTTTTTAATAATACAGTAGATCTATGTGAGTTTCCCTGGCATGTTCTTGGTTCACTCTTAGATTAATCCTTTAACAATTTGTCCCCACCTAATACATGACTACCCTCAATACTAGATCAGGTCAGCTGTGACTACTTGGTACCCAACTGTGCAGTATTTTGCTGACAGACACTCCAAGCCAGCTGAACACTACACAGCTGTGTTAAGTGTTTCTGCTGTACTTTTCTGTCTTTTTGTGCCTACTCAAGGTAGGGCTATTTGGTGATACCACAAATGGTTAGATAACTGAAAGAGGGAGCTCGTGAACAAGCTCCCAGAGTTAGAATTGAAAACACAGATCTTAAATTCCTGCCACTGCACAGGAAGTACAGCAACTGCTATGGTTTCAGACAACTCATTTGCATTCCTGTGTAAACACCAGCAAGGCAAGAAGACATTAACAGCTGTACAGGAATAATACTTAAAATTACAACTTATGCACCTAATATGAACCAGGTATGATGGAAAAAAACCTGAAAAATCACCACTTCTACTCCATCAGATATTATGAGAATCTTAAAAACTGTAGGTGAACTCTGGTCACCGCAATCCTTCTCATCTTAAAAAAACCCATACTCCCAAAACTCCAAGGTTTGACAAAGAAGTTTTAAATAAAGCCTCAAAGAGGCTCAAAAAATACAGGTGGGGTTTTGTCAACCAACACAAAGGTATGTATAAAATAGGAAAATAAAAATAAAATCTGTGTCTATTGCCTCTTTATTAAGCAGTTAGTACTGAAGATTGTTAATTCTTAGGCCCAATCCAGCAAATGAGGTCAAAAAAGCAACAAAACTTGCATAAACTTATCTCAGTTGGTAAAGATGGGAAGAACTAAAGAACTATTAATGAGCCTGTTGAGTGGAGAGCATCTTGATTAAATACAGTGTGGGCAAAACCAAGATGAGGCTTGTTTCAAAAAAGAAAAACAAAACAAAAAAACAAAAAACCAAAACAAAAAAAACACCCCACAAAAAACTTGAGCTACTCATTCACACTGCTAGGTCATAAATTAACTACTTCCAAAACAAAATACTTTAACAATTCACACCTCAATACACAGAAGCTGTCTATGGAGGATGACGTAATGAAAAAAAAATATTTATAAATCCATTAACAAAAAGCATATGGTAAAAACTTCACTCTTATGTCTATTTGATTTAGTTCTAAGCTACTAAGACTAGAAAGGGGTTAGGAACTAACAGAGCTTGTAAAAAGGGACTATTAAAAAAAAGGGAAAAAAAGGATCGCAAGAGGCATATGAAGGCCCCTGGAACAGGAAACACGGGGAACATTTCAGCAAAATGAACAAGGAGCATGAAAGAGTAATTGCAGTAATCAGTTTATGAAAGGAAAACCATCCCCATATATCATTTTTCCAAACGCTACAAAGAAGCAATGAGACTGAAAAGCAATTCAATCAAACCTGAAAACACTCATAGAACATACAGTTGACTTTAACGTCACTGCCACACTCGGTACACACTTAGATTCACCTAAAGACAGAACTAAGTATTATAAGGCAAAAACCTACATTCTCTGCAGAATTCACATATAAAGTTTAAGAAGCATCCCACTGTGGAGTCCTTCTGTAGGTAGATTGTAAACAACTGGTACTTCTCACCAACTTCCTAAGGAAAGCTTATATTCTTAGAAGACAGTCATGGGTCGGTGCTCTTCAGGGTAATGCATGACCATTCCGGATTGCTCTGAATCACTGCCTTCCAAGCTGGATCAAGCAGAAGTGTCACTGCCCAATTTTTAGTTAATGCAGATACAAAAACCACAGCTGATTAATTCAAATATAGCTGTCAATTCAGATAACTATAGAAATAAGATTTCAAGAGTGGTGGGAAAATAGCACATGCCTCTTGGGTCTGAGCAAGACTGGTATTCATTCACAGATATACCAGTGCAGTCTCCAGGCAGTGGTATGATTTACACCAAAGCAAGTCAGACAGCACTGGTGTCTACTTAACCTACACTAGAGTTACATACAGAGGTAGTTTTACTACTACTGGCTGGAATACAGAGTAAATAGGTAAGGAACATGCTTTAATAGCAAAAAGGGACCAGGAAACAGCTCCATCTTGAAGTTTTCATTAAAGCTATGAACAGACTTACTTATCACAGAAACAAGTAAATCAGAGTTCATTAGACACTGTTCATATCTAACTGGCCTCTGCAGTCACAGAAGTTTTCTTTTTAGGCCAAATAAATACCAAGACAAACAAATTAATTATTCACTCTATTTCACCTTGCTAAAGCAACACCAGGACTACCACCCAAGGATAAATTCAGTACTCCATCATGACATAATACCTTTTTTATTACAATATCCAAAAAACCGAGTATGCAAGATTTTGAGATCTCATGATCTCTTCTTCAATCTCAGGAATGTGCCATCTAAAGACTGTATATTTAAACCATAAAGGAGTTTAAATGTAAAGAAAAGAGAAAAACGCATTTTCTTCATAAACATTCTGTGTGTCTCTTCCTACCAACCACGCCATCCTCTGTAAAACCCGAAGATTTCTTTCTGTAAAGCAAATATATATATAGTGTTGGTAGCCCACCCCACCCCACCCCAAGATCAGTTTTTATTAATCTTCTGTATTAGTGTCAACAATCAGCTACAGATACATATTACTTTGAGAATTAAATACATAATCGTTTAATTCAAACAAGCAGAAGGGCAAGAGGAAAAAGCATTATGTGGATGGCACATTTGGTTGTAGATTACCAAAACATTCAGCCTTTACAATTCAATGATTCCTTCTCTAGTAATCAACTTTCAAATAAAATTTCTCTTTGTTGCAATTACAGACCAAAATACACTAGATAGTTTTCTTTACTACAATCTTACCATAGTAGTTTAAGAAGTACTATTACAAAATGCTTTTAATTAGTGTACTCTTTACAAAGAGTCAGAGAGGCAATGTAATAGCAGAGTACAGTGTAAAGAGTGCTTCTAGGAACTAGGAGTTTTTGTCATATACTACTCGGTAAGCGATATAGCTACAGAACTCACAGCCACAACTGTTATGTCTACTCTCTCTCACTTAAGTAGCTGCAGTTTCAGTGCATTCAAACTGTGCCCGATGTCTCTGAATGGAGAGTTCTGCCTGCGTGAGCAATCTGAACAGATTAACACTGGTTTGAATTGAAAACACCCCTCTCTGATCTGAGCTAACTATGTAAACGTACACAGGAGAGGGGAGTTTTGAACTCATCCAGGAAGGTGAGTGCTCGCCATGGCCACTCAAGGGAAACTCTCAACCTGAAGAGAGGTGGTCAGAGATTAACAGAACTGGAACACAAAAAGAGGCAAACAAAAAAAAGGACAAACAGCAACCAACAGAGCAAACACTTTAGAAAGAGCCTATTCCTTAAGCCTGCTTCAGATATTGCTCTGCTCTATAAAAGTGAATTTAGGACCTAAGGCTTGTAAGTTATAAGAGGCCCAGGCGGCCAAGTCCATCTTCAACGTCACTGAAGTGCTTTCACAAGATATAGCTTTTCCCCGTGTTCACTGGTGAAGATGGGAGCCTTTTTGTAGTGTTCCACCAACTCATCCATAGTATTAAAGCGACGCTGCCCAATACAATAGACATTGTCCACGAGCTGCACCTTGAAATGTTTGTTCTTCCCCGATGCCTTTAGAGATACTGAGAAGTCACTGGGCTGTTGAGAAGAATTCAAAAAGAAAAAAAAGAATTACACAAAAGTGAACACAATGAAGGCGTAATTTTGCGGTTTCAGGAACAAGCTGTGTCATACAGTTGATGGTAATTTATGCTAGTCTTTGTTCCACAGCTCAGTGCTTTAGCTACTTAAGAAACCCAATAGTCTATTATTCAATAAATAATTGCCATCATTATTAACGTGCACAGTTAAGTCAGTTAAATGAAAGCTCCCCAAATGCAGTCTAAAGTTGCCAATTACATGACTAAATTGAAAATATTATCTTAGTTACTCAATCTAGAAGCACCAGAATGTCAAAAAGAAGGGAAAAACTTTCATAGTGTATAGTCTCCTTGCTAGAGAGTCCTGGAGAAAGCAATTATTGCAATATTGCTTGGGTAAGATGAAGAAAATTCTCCATATAGCTTTTTTTTAGAGCTGTGACCACTAGAGGGCCGTTCTTGCTTTGCATTGCAAAAGACAAAAAAAACCATTCACCTTTTATCTTCATTACCACGTGTGTGGGGAGTAATTCCTCCTATTGAGAACACCTTTTTTTGTGAAAAATGATAAAGCTATGGAATAAAAACACAGTACAAATCTCACCATCAAACCACCACCCACAAAAGACAAAATATAAGCACTAATTAAGTTATTCAGGACAGAAAAATTTCACATGATAAATCTCTTCATCTTGGCAATCAGAAGAGACCGTTGCCATCCAAACAGCCAGAATGAGACCATTCCACTTTCTGCACCACATGCCACCTGCCATAGGAGGGTAGAAAGGACACACTGTCTCTCGCTTCCAGCTGAACTCTGTCTCTAGCCATTCACCACTCCTGGCTGGCCGTAGAGATGGGAGTACAGGCTTTTGTGGGTGTCACCAGCCAGAAGGAAAATGGAAAAACAGAACAATAAAAAGCACACACCAGAGTTTGTAGCAAGCACTTAACGGAAATAAGTAACACCTGATGTGACTCTGGAGGTACTGCTGCAGGGACTCTGCCTGCTGAAGGCATAACTTCAGGCAGAAACCATTGAAGGTACATGCCAGACTTCAGACACAGCCATCCTGCAGTCCCTTGGTGCTCCCTCCACCACACTGATGCTTCGGTCAGGCCAGCGCTGTGAACCTGAACTCATCCAGGCTAAACAAACCCACAAGGGACTATCTGGTTCACAGCATTGCCTTACAACCAACCACGAACACAGCTGCGGCACAGCACAGGACCAAGCAGCAGGGAGAGGGAGACCTTGGCCATTACTGCTGTCATCAGACTTCAGTTCATGAAACCACAGGTTTCCTTCAGTCCTTTACACTGCATTGTGGGGTCACATACACACTGAGTACGTACCCAAGTAAGACTGAGAGAGAGACTTCTGATGTAACTGCTGTCACCAGACTTCGGTTCATGAAGCCACAGCCTCTGGAGTCCTCTACAATGCGTTGGGGGTCAGATACATACCCAAGTAAGCTGAACAACAGCATTTTCTCAGGAATGCTGTCTTTTCTTGCAATGATGTGGGTCTCTGCCCCATGTATCCCCCATGTTCTGCCTATTCCCAAATCTCATCTGTTGCATCAACCTCTCACCTGTTTTAGCATCAATGCCTTCTCTGCCTTCCCTTCTCACTAGATGTGTCCTACCCAGAGCAAAGCAAGCTCTGGCCATGCTTGTTGAACTGGCTCTGACCCAACTCCCCAGGCTTGCACCTTAGCTTTGGGGAGCAGCTCTTCCCCTCTTGTGCTGTTTAAGCCAGCAGCTAGTTCCCTACACCCCTGGACTAACCCTCTTCTACCTTGAGCCACTACGTTTCAGGTCCACAAGCATCACTTCTTTAAAAATTAATTTTTGTAAAACCCATAGGAGAATTAATTCTTCCATCTACAATCCAGTGCCACCGGACCTTAGCCAGGTCAGTGCAGGCTTGATCAGGAAGGCTGCTTCTGGTATCAAACAGCTCCAAAGCCACCAGCTCAAAATACATGCAGCACCCCCTGTAACTGCCAAGGAGAGAGCTGGGAAGGGTGAGGGAAATGTATGGAAAGAAATGCGTGTAAGAGTATATCTTCGGGGTTTCCAGTGCTCCACCCAAGATATATTTTGTGCTCTGTCATCCATCCCTAGCTCCAAGTTTGAAAACCACTATTTTAAGCCAGCTAGCTCTGGTATTAAACCCCTGCCTCAGGAGCATTGCAAACTGGCTGCACAGAGCTCACACCAAGACCGACCTATCTCCAACACCCACTCCACTGGGTTAAAGCTAACCTAGCTGCACCAACACTGTGCTGTGGTTAAGGCCCCGAATGCAGTGTGGACAAACCCTCCGGCAGCCATAACCATACAGGCCTAGGACCTGTTTCAGTAGATATCTCCACAGCCCGATGCAGCAGCCATTAAACAGTAACAAAGGACAGGCGCGCACGGAACTCTGCAGAACCTCTGGGCTTACGGAGCAGAAATTCAGGGTATGGGCTGTGGGCAGCACACATCGCTGTGCTCTGAACACAGGCTACCCAAGGCAAGCCCACAAGGTCTCTTCAAGGGCAGCACTGAGGGAAGCACTTACAGACTAGCTGCTTAGGATTCTAAAACAGAACATCAAGTCTTGCTGACTAAGTTCTGCTGCTTCCATGGGCAATGCCTAAACCAAATAAAAAACAGTAACCAAGAGGCCCTCATTTAAAATAGAAGACCTAGGAATGGGAAGTTCATAATCTGAACCAAACATGTTTTTTTTGTTTTAGGAACAGGAACAGGTTTCGAAATAAGTGAAATAATCACTTTGTGCTCAGGAAATTTTTAATATTTTCTGACAAAGCACAGTTGTTTTCTGCACATCAAAAATATGAGTTTTCAAAGCTCCTTGTATCTGCTAAGAATCATTATCTTTAGACCAGAAAGGATGTGCTAATGACACACAGAACGGTGCTGGAATGGATCTTCAGACCTCTGATCTCCTGACCTGTGTCCCAGGCACTGGCCAGACTTAGATCTTTGTGAGGTGATCTACACAATATCTACAAATAAATACTCTTCTCTGCCGTTTTAATTATAACTTTAATGAATGAACATTCTCCTGAATTATTATTCTTCCATCTATTCTTCCCAGCCTCAGAGCTGCTAATTAGATTAATGCATAAATAGAAGGCATTATCGCTTATTTTCTCCAGAATATGTTATAAAGTTTATTCTTTTTGTGATGTGGTTTAATTAAAAAAAAATAGCGGAAAGGCTGATCTAACTCTTTTGAGAACCATCATCCGGTGCAAAGAAATGGAAGAGCTTGAACAGCTGTTGCAAAAATCCTGAAACCCTTTATTGGCCTCAGCATAACAACTTCTACAGGATTTAAGAAGAAATAGCAAAAGCAACTGAACTTGCATTTGTTTTTATTTTGGTTCTTTCCCACTCTAATCATCACATAAAATCGTTAAAAGGACTATTTAAAAAAAAATCTCTAGATAAACTACTGCTCTTAACATTACCATTTCAAAGTATGTTGGTTCGATGCAGCTTGAATTGGTTCCCTGCTGTCCTCCTTGGATTTGCTCCAAGTCTGTTTATTTTATTTACTGTTCAAGCTATTTTGTTTCAACTGCTGGCCAATTTTTCTCCCTTCGCCCTCTTAAATTAATTGCTACATTTGGATGTTTGCACACTAACTTTTCCAGGAATAAAAGTCTTGCATACACCAAATAAAGGCACATGGGAAGTAAGCTTTAATCCCTAAAATCTATAGACAAGTTGATGACTCTGCAACAGAATTTCACAGCATAGCTTCATGGTAGGGAACCTGTGAATATTTCTGTACTATCGTAACTGGGAAAACCTAAACCTGAAGTTAAATCAATTCCAAAGACAGAAAATTGAAGATGAGCTGTTATGCATCCACAGGTCTTCAGTCCTGCTGTAGCATTTCTTTGAATTGTTTCAGATTCCTTTAACTGATGATTATGATTAAGATGACCACAGGCTAGCTAGTGCCTACAGCATGTGAAAGACAACGAGTAGGGAAGACATTCCTTTAATTCTACTACTTTGGTAAGGAACTTCATAGTTGTTTCAAAAAAGACGGAAGACTTCATCATGAAGACAAGTTAAAGTGATATAGGGGAAAACAACTGAAATCGGGAAAGAATATTCCCTCATTACAATCCCCATTTGAGAATGAAACAAGATAACTTTATCATAAATGGCAATGTTGGGGAAAAATAACTCCCCTCTGAAAACCTTAGGTTTTTTCCTTTCAGTACACTTCCACTTGGCAATGCCTTTCCTCCATGGAAGATAATCTCATGCACTCATTCTTCAGACTATTCTAGAACCTTCAAGCCCCCATCTGTGAGCCTGCCCTGGAGCTCCACAACTCCTTCCACTCCCATACCCAAGTTCTCCCTCACTCCTCCTCCTACTGAGTCACCTAGCCAAAAAAACAAGTCATAGCTTGAAAGTCGAAGGTCAGGCTGGACAGAACATCTGGGAGGGTTGAAAATTCCTTCTTCTACCCCTTACACCTCATTTAGATATAAACAAATGCCCTTCCTCTCTATGTAATGTTCATCATGTTCCAAAATCAGCATTATGCAGGTCAGAAACATGAATTGGCTCCACTGATCTTCAAATACAGCTCTAA